TGCGACATGGGGCCACCTTGTGGAGGGAGCAGGCACTGCAGCGTGAGACCATTTCTCTACCTTTTCCATGCAGTTTTTACTCGGTCTGTGGACCTTGCAGGTGACTCAGGCTTGTTCTTGTTTGTTTTCAAGGTTGCTGGCTGAACTTTTTGTAGGGGTGGTGATACCCGCTGCTGATCCCCCATTCCACTCTCAATACCTCCTTTCTGTTTTGGCTCTAGTCATTGTTTGATGCCCACGACACTGTGTTACCATGACTGCTGCTCTTTCGTATCAGCACCTCTGCCTTGGATTCCTTCCTGTCCCTGCTCTGACTCCCATTCAGTCGCCTTCAGGCCCTGCCCAAGTCTTGCCCATGCTTTGGGAAACTTCTGTTTGTCTGAATGTCTCCCACCTGCCTGTCCAATCGAAGCCTGAACTGCTACTTAGTTCCCAGCACTTACCACCCCCCGCCTTGCACATGGATACTTTGGATGTTCTTCTGTTACTTCCAGCTCTGCATATCTCAAAGCTAACTTCCAGATGTAGAACACTCAGTGCCTGGCTCAGTAAATGGCCTGACATCCAACTGCAGAGCACGTGCACCTCTGCACTACCTCCTCAGACACGGGTCTAGTGCATCGTAATTGCCTACTGTTAGCTCTCGGTTTTAATATTTAAGTGCAATTTATCTATAGCAAAATATGCTGATCTTACATATACAATTTAATTCTGAAAAATGCCTTCCCTCCTGCAGGCAACACCCATCAGAGCATAGAGCATGTCCATCACCCCTGAAAGATCTGTCCTGCCCCTCTCCCAGAAGCAGTTGCTGTTTGGATATCAGTCAACAAAAACAGGTTTTCTTTAGAGTATTAAATAGATGCATCCATATAATGCAGTTTGCACACTTTTTGTTGGTTTGTTTTTGAGATACATGGCTATTGTAGCTATCAGTGGTTCGTCTTTATTGCTGAATTACTATTCAGTGCTCTTTGAGATATAATCAGATCTCAATTTTTAAATTCTGTTGATGGACACCTGAGCTGTTTTTAGTTTGGGGCTATTTCTAATGAAACTTTAGGTGGACATGTTTTAATTTTGCTTGGATACATACCTAAGAGTGGAGGTAATATGATAAACTTATATTTAAACTTACATAAAGAGAACCAGCCACTTGTTGAGTCTTCAGCAATATATGTGAGTTTCGGGCTCTCCACATCATCACCAACATTCAATGTTGTTGTTTATAAATTATTTCTGTTCATGTGTGGTGACATCTCATTGTGGCTTCAATTTTCATTTCTCTGTTGACTGATGATATTGAATTCTTTCATGAACTGATTCTTAGTCTTTTACTCATTTTTAAGCTTGGATTTTTTGTCATTTTATTATTGAGTTGTCAGAATTATTTGTATATTCTGCATGAAAGTTCTTTGTTCCATACGTTATGAATGTTTCCTTCAAGTCTTTGGCTTCCCAATTTATTTTCCAACAGTGCCTTTTGATTTGTAAAACTTTAAACTTTTGATTATCAACTTTTAATTAGGACTTTCTGGGTCCTAAGAAATCTTGCCACATCTTAGTTACAAAGATCTCTTAAATTTCTTCCAGGACCTTTTTAGAATTAGCTTTCAGATATAGATGTGTGACTTGCTTGAAATTAAGTTTTGCATATCATGGTCTATAACTGTCAGAGATTTCCCTCTTTTCCCTCCTGTGGATGGAGAGTCTCACTGTCCCCTGTGATGGAAAGACTTTACTTGTTCTAAAGAGTTAACTTGTTGAAATTCACTTGGCAATAATATTATGGGACCATTTCTGGACTCTAACAGAAATATTTTAAGAACTCATGAGTTTTCTATGAGAGATGCTTGCTTCTTAGAGCTCCCCACCCAATCCACAACCCGGTAGCAGTGAGCAGCCCTCGTTCTTAGACCATGGTCTCTCCATACCATTGCTAATTAGAATCGAAACAAAACCAGACAGTGTGGCTCCTAGCGGAAGTAGCTAACGCCCATCTGGGGCAGGGGTTCTGGCATAGTATCATAGTGCCTCTTCAAGGGGCTCTCAGTGGCCCAAGATGGGAACATTGAGCATAAAAAGGATAATAATGGAAACGAATTGATCCTGTAAGATATATTACTTAAAGATCCATTCTGTTCACAGTGATGCTCCACAATGAACTTATTCATAACCTGTGGTCCCCCGCCTGCCCCGCTTTGGTCTTCGCTGTGGTAGTTGCTGCTCCCCAGGCATTTTTCTGGAGTCTGGGGAAGGGTAGCGCAGACTAAACATGGACCCCGCTTTTACTTCCCACGCCGTACATTATGATGCTCAAGAAGCTGCTAAGGGAGGGTTCTCTGTGGAAGAAAAGCAGCTCAGGACATACAGAAGAAGAGAGGATTTGAAGATCACCCTGTTGCCATAGCTAATTAAATAATGGGACCGGACAGGTCAGCGCACTGGATGGGGACTCTGTAGTGGGTGGGTTAGACTGGAAACCCTGAATGCAGGGTTAATTTTAGTGGTCTGTCCTTGCAGGTAGAACAAAACAGGAAATACAATGGATCCACCCCAATGGCTGTTGCCCTGCATTAAGTGAGGTCTCTAGGTCTAATGTCCACTTTTCAGGAACTCTCCCCAGGACGTAGGAACAGTGCTGAGGACATCTGCAAGAAAAACGTTGTAATCTCTGCAGAACCAGGTGGCAGGAGTAGTCATGGGTGGGGAAGGGTGCTTACGGATGAAGTGACTGAGGGTCCACACCAGTAGGATGTGTGGACCTGGTTCACGTTCTGATTCAAGGAAACTAATGGTGAAGAGGACGGTTTTGAGACAGCTGGGGAGTTTTGAACGTAGTCTGTATGTTGAGCATGAGAAGATAAGTTAGTTTTGTTAAGTGGTAATGGCAGTGTAGCTAAGAAAGAGCATGTGTTAGGCTACATAGAAGAATCGCCAGGAGAAACAGGGTGCATGGTGTTTGCCTTGAAATACTTTGGAAAAAGACACAGAAAACAAGATTAAGAGAGCGTTAGTAATTGTTGGAAGGAGAGAGGGGAGTTTCTTTTACTGAACTGTCTCAGAATTTTGTTGTTTTCCTAATACAAAATATAGACCTGAAACACATATATTTGGCCCTGAAATGAGCTTTCCAGCTCTGAAGCCCTCTGGGAACCTGTTGGAGACAGGTCTGGAGAGTCCTTGTGGGCTCCTGGTGCTGTCCCTCTGGTGGGAAATGTCTGCGCCCAACACCTTGCCTCTCAAGGTGCCCTTGCACCTTCCCCTGGGGCTGGCGGCTCCCATGGGGACAGAGCTGGACACCGGGAAGACTTCCCAGCCCAGCGGGGCTTTGACTGCATTCTCTTCTCTCAGGTTGAGGGTACAGGAAGCATTGCTGGCTGCCAGCTGCTTACTCCAGGTCAGGCAGTGTGCACAGGGCTTCGGGGCCCCCGGGTTTCTGATGGCTGTGTCCCGCTCTGCCCGTCACCAGCCCGTCTCCACACAGTCCACACAGCCCTCAGGGCTGCAGAGGGGAGGTGCGTCTCCCGTAGCGTGTTCACCAAGGACTGTGGTTCTCAGCCCCGCTGCCCTGCCGCAGCCTCGGAGCCCGAGTGCCAGTTCCTAGTGTGCACGTGGGTGACACATCGTACCTGGAGGATAGCGCCTGGGTGTGCTGCGCCTGCTGGAATAATCACTTTCCTGCGCCATCTGTCGTGGTGATGTGTGCTTTACGGGCCTTGTCATCTGATAATGAAATTTTGACAAGGATCCATTCGACTTTCCCTTTCTCTTCAAGTAGGTTTATCTTCTGCCTTGGACTCGGGCTTTTTAAGCACCTTGACAATTGGCCACTTATGCTGTCATTTACCGAAAGAAGTGAAGCTTGGGACTGCACCTCTTTGACTTCCATGTCTACCTTCAGCGACAAAATTAGTTACTTTTGTAGTCAAAAGAGTATTCTGTGCTTGTCAGGAGAGTGAGGTTGGCTTGCTGGAGCCCTGTGGGAGAGGAGCCAGTGCTCCAGGGCTGTGCGTGGAGGTCCCCCACTGACACCAACCGGGGCCAGGACAGAGGGGTGCAGGTCCCACGGAACCCAGTTCCCTGTCCGAGTCACGTTTCCCTGCCATACTTTCTTCTATCTGCTTGTGTGAACCATTTGTCTTTAAACATTCACTTTTTCTTTTTAAGAATGTTTGGATTCACGCCGCAGTGGTACCCAGGATCCCATCCATCATTTAAGCTTAGAGTGTCATTTCATTTCATTTCGTCGTGTTGTGAGAGCCGATTCATTTTGCATATTCAAAGGACCATGCTAACTAATAGTCACCATGAAGCTGCCAAATTAAACGTAAACAGTAATGGCCCCAAAATGTGGAAATATATTTGTTGTGGCAGATACACTGAACTAAAAGTTGATGAAGAGCAAATGCACTGTTAACGAGTTTTCAGACAAAATGATAGGAGCTAGCAATTTCTAAATTTCTTAACTACCATAATCCTATGTTGCTGAAATGCATGAGAAAAATTATTTTATTACGTTATCCTCTAGAAACAGGCAGTTTCTTGTAGACCTGTATTCTTGTAGACCCATGAGACACCAGACCTGGTCCACCATGGTTCCCAATGGTAAAAGGGAGAACACTGCTTTCCAGGAGAGGACCCAGGGACACTGAGTTTGTGTGTCACGTGGTTCTCAACAGCAGGGAGTCCTAGGATCCTGGAAGCCTGCCCGTTAGGGTCCTGTTTCTCAGAGCGCAATTTGGGGAGCTCCACATCAAAAGCACGCGGAACGCCCTTCCTCTCATCCTCGGCCTGCTCCCGGTTCCTGAGCAGACTCCAAGTGTGTGGCCGAAAGCCTGCATATTAGACATCCTTCCGCAGTGGCGTAGGGCGGAGCGCAGCCTGGGTACTTTGAGGAGCTCGTGCAGCATGGAGCATGGATGCCTCTCTCCTTGGTTCATGTGATGCATTATTTTCATGATTTTATGATGACCCATTTTCCTCTCTTTTCCCCTCAGGACTCGTGCATCACGTCTGTAGCCTGTTCACTGCAGCCGCCACGCTGTGCTTGGATGTGGACAATAAGCACAGCGCTGAGGTGGCAGCCACCCTGCTGTTCTCGCTGCTAGACATTCTGCATGGCATGCTGACCTACATGTCTGGTGTCGTGCGGCTGGCACTGCAGGTGAGGGGCTCCCTGTGTTACACTCCCCTGTCATCCTCCAGTTGTCCTCATGGTGTCTCTTTGTTTTAAAAGAATGTATCATTCTGTACCTGAGTCTACTAGCAGCATCTGGGGTGACCAATGTTAGGAACAGAGAACACGGTCACGGTGTCTAAGCCCAGCCAGGGAGGCTCCCTGAGCAAAAGCTCCTGAGTGTGGTTGGGAGCCACTTCTGCCGGAGGTATGTTGAGGGTGACCAAGCAAATCAGACTTCCAGTCCAGAAGCGGCACCTAGCCCACCCTCAGTAGGCTGGGTGGGAAATTGGCACATGCATGCATGTATGAATGTATATGTTTGTGTACATGTCAACATATATACACATGTGACCCATGCAAACAGGCTCACTTGCTTTCCCCTGTGGCTCATAGCCTGGAGACGTGCAAGGCTTTCGATGGTCAGGTGTGCTCTGTGGCTTGGAGACATTGGCCTGCCCTGAGCTCGCCCTGCGCTGCCTCCTCCTGCTCTAAGTCTCCACCTCCAGTCTCTGCTTCACTTCCTGCTCTCTCTCACTTGATACTTAACCAGGAGAAGGCATGCAGCCGACAGGAGCTCAGGTCCTGTTTAAAATCCTGGTGAAATTGCACAGGTGTATGTCAGCTGGTAGCATCATAGCAGTGTAGACACAGAAGCTGCAGCTGAAGTGAGCTGTGTGGATTCCCTGCCAAGAGTGGCAGTAGGCAGGGCAACAGCGAACCCCACACCCTGACTTGGTCTCTGCTGGGCCTCTCTGTGGTAAAATGGCTATCCCCTGGAAAGCCAGTCAGGGGCTGGCTTGTCCACGTGACTCCGTAAATGTGCCCCACCCTCTCAGCTGATGTTCTAGTTCACTGCCAGGTGTTTAGCCCAAACTCCAAACGCGCTGGGTTAACAGTGCATTTCCTGGTTGTCATTTGCTCACGATACTGTTCCTAATCAGTAGCACAGCATTGTTAAATACTTTCAGACTCCTCTTTTCTCTGGCATGTCTCCCGTCCGAGAACATTGTTTATTTCAGTTTCCACAGTGGTGGCTTTATGGAATTCTTTGAGATGAAGATGATAGTTACATTCCTAAAGTGCCCTCACAGTTAGTCTGACTAGATGCATTTTTTTTTTTTTTTTGTACCAGGGATTGAACTCTGGTCCTTGCATTTGCAAGGCAGGTGGCAGAACCACTGAGCTAAATCCCCGGCCCCTGTTCACAGTTAGTCTGTAAAAGATTATGTCATGTAGACTGTAGATTAAAAAAACTATATCAGAAGTTATTTTTTAAAAAACCCCTCCAGATCAATAGAAATTGTTATTATAAGTGATTAGATATTCAGGGGTGATTAAAGGAAAATTCCTTAACATAAAACATTTTGACTTTTCTTTTTCAGTTTGCTATTGTGTCAGTAGACCACGGTTTTGTTCATATTACCCAGTGCCACTGCATATTTCATTGCTGCCATTTTTCCAAGTTTTCCCTCCTGTCTGTACCTGCTGCTCTGGCCCTGACCACTGAGAGGTCTGAGAGGTCTGAGAGTGGTGGAGCCCTTGAGGCTGAGCCGGGGAGGAGCGGGGCGCGTGTCAGACACAGTGGCCGAGCCATGATCGCTTTGCAGAGCACGATGGCCTCTTTGCTCATGAGGCCTCTACGCCGGGACTCTCCTGCACCAAACCTGTTTCTCCAATAGGAACCCCCCTCCAGTGGGAGTCGGGAAGTTTCTGAGGCGCGTTCTTCTCCAGGGAAGAGAGTGCAGGCTGGCGTTTGTGCTGTAGGGGGAGCTCAGTGCCAGCTCTGCTGCTCCAGGTTCCGAGTGGGCCCCAGTTAATCCCCGCGTTTTGTGTGTAAGATGGTGAGGCAGAGACATAATGTGCTTGGGGCCCTGGTACCAGCACCAGCACCAGGACTCAAGGCTGGGATGCCTTCTGCCTAGATGGAATAGAAGGGAGAGAGGGAAGGTGGGCTGCTGGTGCTGCTGGTGCTTCACTGCCTCCTGCTTTGTGCTCTCCTGCCTGCTTGCCATGGACTCTGCCAGGCCCCCTGCCTTGGAGCCAGCTGACTATGGACTGAAACCCCTACAAACTATGAGCTAAATTAACCTCTCTTCCTTTAACTTCGGGTGTTGGGTATTTTGTCTCAGCAATGAGAAAGCAACTAGGACGCTGCTCTTCCCCATGAGCCGCCCTCCGCTTGGGGCTTGAATGCTGCTGACCTTCTTCTGGCACGGCCTATAGTCTTGTGTCTCCCCCTTCCTCTGACGGCTTTGGTGACACGTTGTGACCTGTGACATAACTTGCTGACCCCTTGGGGAGACGTTGGAGACCTCACGGTGCCCAGCCCAGTGTCTGTCCTCACTGCCAGTGCTGCACCTGTGCCTACACTGAGAGTCGGGTCAGCGTTTCCTGACACATCCCAGTCCTGCCCTTGCATCCCTTTGCTCGGGCGTCCCAGGCCCTGAAAGAGCTGAGTCTGTGTCTCACTCTAGGCCCCATTTCCACCATTCAAATGATGAAGTCACTCATGCATCACCTTCTGCTGCCTAGACGCCGTGGCCGCCTCTCTCGTGGCGGTTTTCGCCTTGCCTTTCTTTCGCATAGTCATTTGGAAGCTCTCTCTCTGCCTTGTAACTAGGCTGTGAGGTCTGCCTCACACGTGGCACAGTTACGTGTGGGGATGGGAAGGTCTGACCGAACTGGCCTGGGCACGCCGTAGCCAGTAGCCTCCCATGTGTCCTCCGGGCTCCCTGGGGCTGCTGCAGGTGCCTCCTCTGTTCCTCTGCAGCGCCACCCTCTGCATGCTGGGCATGGAGCAGTGAGGAGCAGTATTAATCCTGGGCCTTTCCTGCTGGAAGCCAGCAGTGTTCTGTGATCTCCCCTACCACGCCCCGCAGTGCAGTGCCACTTAGATTTAAACATGGCTCATAGTGTTAGCGGCGACATCCCGGGTTTTATGCGTGCGACTGTTAAGTTTACGCTTCCACTCGGAGCCGTGCCTGAGGCTTGTGCTCACCCAGCCTGTGGCTCGCTCAGTGTGGCTACCAGATGCCCTCGGCCAGAGCTGAGCTCGGACTCCGCACCCCTGCCTACCCTGACGGCAGTCCTGCCCTCACCCTGCTCTGCTGACCGATGCCTGGGAGTCATCCTTGACATTTCCTGTTTTCTGTACTTCATGTCACCAAATACAGCAGCCTTTACCTTAGATGCCTAGCAAGTCTCTGTCCTCTCAGAACGTACCCTGGGCAGCCTAGGCGGCATCCTGCCTTCACGGTGCCCTGCCAGGGCTGGCAGCAGTGGGGAGCCAGGGTTGGGGCTGGGGCAGAGGTGGCTGTGTCTCCCGGAGACAGGCCCTGGCCGAGGTGACCCGACCCGACCCGATCCGACCCGACCCGAGAGGACAGACCTGGGAGCCCAGCCGCCAGGGAGGAGGTGTGCTGAGCAGGGAGATGGGGAGGAGCAGCGGGCAGGCTGGGTGTTGGTGCCTCCCGGGACGCCCCTGTGGCCGATGCTCTGCAGAGGTGGGTGTCCAGTGCCTTCCTGCACCGTGCCTCCCTTCTCGTCCAGCTGGACTTCCTCTCTCTGGAGCCCTAGGCTGGGAGCAGGTGACAGTAAGAGAAAGAGACCTGGTGGATCTGGCCCCGGTCCTGGTGGGAAAGCCCTGGGGGTTGCTCTGCTCTGCTGCTGAGGGTTGAGAGGAAGCCATGAGGCCGGGAGCCGCCAGCTGCCTGTCCTGGGTGTTTTGGTTTGGGCACGTTAACGTGTGATATGAAAAGCCCTCGTCCACGCCAGGCCTGCCACGGAGGCCAGGGAGCCACAGCCAAGATGCAGAGAGGTCCCGTCCTCTGGAACCGTGCCCCACTGAGGTTCTCAACCACTGCTCCCTGAGCCACAGAGACAGCTGTTCAGCCAGGCCCTCTGAACCCCGAAAGCAGCAGCTGTGGTTCTGTGCCTAACCTGACGCCCACAAGCAAACTGGCTTCCTTAGAAAGACCTGGGTCCCACTGACGATCTGAGGTGGCCAATGGAGGGGTCAGTACTGAATGTGGACTCAGAGGGAAGTGTGCGTCCTGTAGCAGCACAGGGTCTTCAGTGGGAGTGAGGCCTTCCGTCTCCTCCGCAGGGAGGTCTGTGCTGCTGGGAACCCCGGGAGGCGGGGTGTCCCGTAAGACCCTCCCTTCTTCCCCCCTTTGCGCCCGCTCCCCCAGCATCAGCCACTGTGCCAGGGAGGAGCACACACATCAGCAACCTATTCCTGCAGTGGCCGTGGGTGGGTGTCCCAGGCTCACCTGAGTGTGCGTGCACGCATGGCAGCGGGATGTGGTGTGTGTCCACTCGTGTGCAGGGAATGCGCAGAGATCCCGTTTGTGGTTTGGTGTCCAATTGGGTCGCCTGGCACACTCACCCACTACTGTGGGACCTCAGACAGGAGCCTGGGCTCCCCTGTGCCCAGTGCTGTAGCTCGGCTGGCGAGGAGACGCCCTGCCCGAAGCTCCGGCATGGCTCTGCCACTGCCTCATCGGCTGCTGGGCCGTGCAGGGCTGAGCTGCTCTCTGCTGCCCCAGGCCCAGACACTGCAGCTCCGCCTCCTCACTGCTCACCTGCTGGTTCCCCACAGCCAAGCCCGCTGACACCAGTTCCCTCTCTCTTCTGCCGCAGGTGCAGAAGTCCAGCTCGGGAGGGGACACGCAGGCGGCGGAAGACCTGCTGCTGCTGGGCAAGCCCCTGGCCGCCTTGGCCAGCCTGCTCATCCCGCTGGTGAGTCACTGGGGCTGGAGGGAAGCTACGGAATTTCACGAGCCCCCAAGTTCCTCCGTGGTTTTAATGTCCTTCACAATCAGAACCAAAAGAACTTTGAACATGTGGCTTGGAAACACTAAGATTCTACTTTATTTGGAAACTGGGAAGCTCATTCCTTTAGATAGATATTCAAGTAAGGCAGAGTTGCAAAACCAGGCCCGTCCGTCATGAACGTGAGGCTCCCAGGAGGCAGCAAGCCGTCGTTGCGGGTGTCCGTCCCTTCCCGGAGGTCTGGCCTTAGCCTGGGCGCAGGGCTCCCCAGGGCACAGGCGCAGGTTCAGGCATCGCACACTGGAGCTGCTAGACGTGGGAGGAAGGTGCGCCTTGGGGCAGCCCACAGGAATTCCCGATTGAGCTAGAGGAAGGGCTTTGACCAAATGCGAAGGCCTGTGAGGAGGCGGGGTGGCCTGGCAGCCTGGGAGCTCCGCCCTCAGGGGAGGCAGCGCCTGGGGCTGGAAGGCTGTAGGGCTTGGCTCTCCTGCCCTGCTCTGCGGAGGCTGAGGGCAGTTTGCATGAAGAGTGCTGTGGGCTTCACTGTCCAGCAAGTGAAGGTTTGGTTCAAATGAGTGAGGGAAGAAGGAAAAACGCACCAGTGCTGGTCCCAGCACTCAGGAGGCTGAGGCAGCCTGGGGAACGTAGTGAGCTAGAGGCCACCCTGAGCTACAGAGCCATCACTCCTGGGTTATGTTAGACAATATTACGCAAGAAAGAAAGCAGTCACCCGCATGACCAGCAGGCTCCCTGTGCGCTGTGGGACAGCCCAAGCCAGGCCAGACGTGCCTTCCCGGGGCAGGGGTCCTGACTCCCCGGGTGGCAGGAGGACGAACACAGGCTCCCCTGGGGACACGCCGCCGCATGTGGTGGCACGGAGTTGACGGAGAGAAGCCGCGGACGGGGGAGGCGCGCCTGCTCCGAGCTGCTGGCTTTATTGCGATTGGAACTCCGTTAAATATTGTCAGTCTTGGTCTTACCATCTTACTCTGCGTTTTCTTTCTAAATGTGGTTAAATGAGGCATAGGAGGTGTAAAGTTTATTGCAAAAGCTGTTGAAAGCACAAAGGAAGGATTTTATAATGGTGAAGAATAAAACCCGAGGGAACATATAGCTGCATCAAACTTCGGAGTGTGGAGCTGTGTATCGAAAAAGAGAAGGAAACACGGGAGAAAACCAAGACAACTTACTGAGACACTGAGCGGATGGGGCAGAACTGAGGCTGGAGGGCAGGGCTGGCTCAGCGGCCGGTGGCTGAGTCTGACTGCTGCCTTTTGGAAAACCCCTTCAGGAGGAACCTGGCCTCCACAGGGTTGGTAATGTGGAGCAGAGCGGTGGGACTCATGCTGGGCACTGGCACATGCGCGTAACACATCTTGGTTCTTTCTGTCTCTTTTGCCCCCTTCTCCCCCCACCTGATCGGCTTGCTCATCTCCAAGAATCTTTTTTTTTTTTGGTCCTGGGGATCGAACTCGGGTCCTTGCACTTGCACAGCAGGCGGTGAAACCACTGAGCTAAATCCCCAGCCCCTCCGAGAGTCTTATTAGTCATTATTTATTGTTAATTCCTCATTTATTTATTTATATTGCAGGTTTCTCATATAAGAGAAATCATGCAATATTTAACTTGCTGAGCCTGGCTTATTTCACTCAGCATGATGGTCTCAGGTTCCATCCGTTTACCTGTATATGCCATGACCATATTCATCTTTATGGCTGAGTAATACTCCATTGTGAATAATGTCACATTTTCTTTATCTTTTCATCATTGTCAGGCATCTGGGCTGTTCCAGAGCTTAGCTGTTTCAGTGAATTGTGCTGCTGTAAACATGGATGTGCATGTTGTGCTACAGAACAATGTCTTCAGTTCTTTTCGGAGTATACCCAGGAGAGGTATAACTGTGTCAAATGATATTTCGACTTTTAGTTAAAAAAAACTCTGCACACTGATCTACAAGTTATACTAGTTTATATTCCTGCCAACAATGCACTAGGGTTCCTTTTTTCCTGCATTTTGCGTGTGTGTGTGCGCTTTCTCGATGCTGGCCATTCGCACTGGAGTAAGATTGGAATCTCAAATTAGCTTCGATTTACATTTCCCTAATGGTTGTTAAAGTTGTTAAATATCTTTCGTATAACTGTTGGCCATTTGTGCTTTTGTTGCATGTGGGACTAAAGCTGAACCTCTGGCCTTCACTCTTTTCTCTTTTGAGACAGGATGTCACTGAGTTGACCAGGTGGGGCTTAGATGTACACAGCAGGTATAAAGCCAAGTGCGGTGTCTGCGGAAACTCTGGAGTGGGCATGAGCTTGAGGTGGGGTCTCGGGTGGGCTGGCGAGGACAGGAGCAGCTGTGGCTGAAGGCCAGAGTTGGACACGGGGTAGCAGGTGCCCAGGTGGAAAGCTCAGAGAGACATCCGAGAACTGCCCGCCTCTGGGGAGAGAGCGCTGCTCCTGTGATATAGATCCTTCCCCGCTGGTCACCCCTGCTGTCCTGAATTCCCCTGCGCCTGCGCACTCACTGTGAATATTTGCCTGGCTAAAGCAGGGAGTCAGACTGGCCTGAACCTTGTCAGCTGTCTGCCCCGGTACTCCCGGCGCAGCCTCTTCTCTGTCCAGCGTGGGGACCTGGCCCTGCAGTCAGGGCCAGGAATGACCCAGGATAAAACCCTGCTCTGGATAGCTGGTCTTTCCCTCTTTCCGAAAGACGCCTCTGAGGGGAATAGGTGGGTCAGGTGAAATTTCCATTTTTAGTTGTTTGAGGAATCTCCATGCTGATTTCCACACTGGCTGTACTAGTTTACACTCCCACCAACAATGGGAGAAGGGTTTCTTTCTCCCCACAGCCTTGCCAGAATTTTTTACTATTTTTATTTTATTTTTTTTGGTGCCAGGGATCAAACTCGGGTCCTTGTGCTTGCACAACAGGCAGCGAAACCACTGAGCTAAATCCCCGGCCCCAACTGTTTTATTTTTAATGATAGCCATTCTTTCCATGTATAGCAGCATAGTTTATAATAGCTAAATTGTGGAAGCGGCCTGTAAGTCCATCAACAGATGAATGATAAAGAAAATGTGGCTATTGTACGCAGCGGAGCACTACTCTGCTATAAAGAAGAATAAATTTGAGGCATTTGTAGGAAAATGGATGTACCTAAGTTTGGGCTCTCTTATATGAGGAACCCAAGATATAAATAGCAAAATAAAATATAGAGAATAAACAAGGAGGTAGATCTTTTACATACAGGAAAGGGACCAAGAGATGCCGGGGCTGGGGTATGAAAAGAATGAAGTTGTGTGTGCATGCGCCAGCTCCCACGGTGAGCTCCTCAGCGTGCACCTCGGGCATGGACTGAGAGAGAGGTTGGCCTTGGAGGGGTGGTCCCAGCTCCTCGGGCACTCTGTTACTGGTAACCCGGTCACACTTAGGTTCCAATCTGCTGGCCGGATGTCTGCCTAATGTGTGTGAGCTGTGTGTTGTGTGTATGAGCTGTGTGGTGTGCGTGTGAGTGCATCACCAGTGTGTGTGAGCTGCGTGGTGTGTGTGTGAGCTGTGTGCGTGAGCTGTGTGGTGTATGTGAGCCATGTGGTATGCGTGCGTGCCACATGGTGCAAGTGTGAGCCCCGTGGTGTGCATGTGAGCCACATGGTGTGCATGTGAGCTGTGTGGTGTGTGTGGGCTGCATGGTGTGCATGTGTGAGCCGTGTACTCTGTGTGTGAGCCACGTGGTGTGTGTATGTGTGTGTGAACCACATAGGGTGTGTGTAAGCCATGTGGTGCGCGTGTGAGCTGTTTGGTGTGAGTGTGAGCTGTATAGTGTGTGTGTGAGCTGCGTGGTGTGTGTGTGCATCCATCACCAAGGCCATTAGGTCTAAAGGTGGCTGTGACCAGAACATCACCATCTGCCTTCTCTGGCAGAGATGGGCACGTTTATAGCTGTGCATCAAGTGAAGAAAAGCAGGGATGGGTCTCTCGACGCCCTAAAGCGGAGCAGTGCAGACCAAAGATAAATTTTGTGATAGTTGTTGCAGATGTAGGAGGTCACAGGATGAGGGCCTAGAATTGCTCTCCTGTAGGGAAGAGTAAGCAGACCTGGCTTCCTCTGACTTGGATAATTTTGGAAGCCTGAAGGCAAGAGAATGAGCTTACAGTTTTTGAGATTCTTTCCAGATGTGGTCCTGCGAAAACAAACTGCTTCTCCTTGAGAAAACATGGAGGCTGCCCCCCATTGTTTATGGAGCACAGAGTCCTCCCCATCCACTAGGGTGCAAGTCCAGACCTCCAGTGAATGGCGGGACCCGTGGCCAAGCCACAGAGACAGAGAGCTGGTCCCGACTTAGGGACTGACCCGGGGAGCTTCACCCTTATGATGGTTTGAAAGCCATGTGCATGCAGTAGAAACTGCCTGGAGCACTGTGCCTTCCTGGGCTGGCGAGGTGCCATGGGACAGCTCCCAAGACACTGAGTGGCAGCAGCCACAGCGCCAGCAGCTGTGTGGTCACAGCGAGCGGCCAGGCTACCACATGGCACGTGCTGCCCTGAGATCGGGAGGGAGGGCCCCAAATGCACCTCCGTGTGTGGTGTTTTCCACCTGGGAGGTGCTCCCCAGACACAGCCCGTGTAACGGGGGAGCGTGTGCCCGTGCTTTCTCCTGCCTGCGCCTGCCTATGGCAGAATTGAACTGATAAATTAAAGACAGTAACTAATAATAGAGCCGTTCCAACAGTGCGTTGTAGTGGAGTCGTGCAGGCGCGGTCTCTCTCCCAGGGTGCCTTATCGCACGGTGCTTCCTTCCTCCTCTGCTGGCGTGAGATGGTCCAGGCCCCGAGTGCCAGATGGAGGAAGGACGCTGACACTGGCTGTTCCCGACTGTCCTGTGGGTCCCCGGGATGTGGCCCTCTGTCCTGTGCACCCACCCAGGACACCCAGCCCACTGTTTCTCATCACTGGATCATTGTCTCTGGGTC